TCCATATTTTTACCGTTATCAACATTTTATGAAATTTATGAAATTCAATTCAGATAAGATATGAGCTTATCTTCTATGATAATAACCACGTGCTACACACACGCACACACACACTCCCTCTCTCTCTCTCTCACTCTGTTATAAACTTTTTTTTTTTTTTTTTTTTCTTTATTTTGTTGCAGCTTATTGTCTTAGACTCTATAGCGCATTTAGCTCTAAACCTTAACTAATGGGAGGGCAGATATGCCAATTATTCTGCACTTGTAGCTACTATCTTAATTAGTTCTTATATTGTCTAGAGGATGCAATCTCTTCAGTCTTCGCCTATTGTTGTTTATAGCCAGGTTGCTTGCGAGATGGTTAGGATGCGCTGCAAGTCTGTCCGCGTATCTTGAACTGTGTCGCCCAATGAGTTCAGCAACTGTGGGAATTGCTAAATCCCTATGTAAGACTGAGTTTCTTACAAACCAGCTGGCTCCAGTCCATCTGCGTAGTGCTTTATTCTGCAGGGTCTGAATTTTGTTCCTTGTAGTCTTCGCCGAGGAGCCCCATAGAGAGATACCATATACGAAGGTTGGGACAACTATTGCCTTGTAGATGGCGGCCTTGCTGCTGTAAGACAACTTGCTTGAAGCTCTCAGCATCCAGTCGAGGGTTTTTAGCTTGCTTTTGCATTTTGAGGTTACTTGACTTATGTGCGCTTTAAAAGTCAGCCTTCTGTCAAGAGTGATACCAAGGTACTTTACTTTTGAGGCTTTGGGAATAGTGGGCCCCAATGCAACGCTTGGGCAATCTCCTCTTCTAGTGGCGAAGGTAGTATGTACAGACTTTTGTGCATTAATGGTGATACACCACCGTTTTGCCCAGCGTCCGAAAGAGTCCAGATATTTTTGTAGTGAGTCTGAAGCTTCTTGCGCAGATACGTGACGTGATAAGATGGCGGTGTCATCTGCATAGGTCGCTATGAGTACTGCATCTGTACTTCCTATATTTGGCTCGGGAGTTGGCATATCTCCTGTGAATAAAGTATAAAGTGTTGGGCCTAGAACACTACCCTGTGGTACTCCAGCCATAATTGGTCTAGTCAAGGATACTGCTTGCCCCCTTGACACTTGGAAGGTTCTTCCAATAAGGTATGAGGATAGCAACGCGAAAAATGGGGCTGGAAGGGTGGTCCTCACTTTCTGCAGCAGTCCCAGGTGCCAAACTCGATCAAACGCCTGTTTGATGTCTAAAAAGACGGCAGAGCAGTACATCTTTTCTTCAAAGGCTCCAAGGATATGGTGCACAACTCTGTGAACCTGTTCCGGTGTTCCATGCTGTCTCCTGAAGCCAAACTGATGGTTTGGAATGGCCTCCTGGCGTCCCAGATGTGTCAGTACTCGTTCCAGAAATATTCTTTCGAATATTTTGGAGAGTACTGGCAACAGGCTAATTGGTCTGTACGACTCAATTTCTCCCACGGGTTTGCCAGGCTTAGGAATCATCACAATCACGGCGCGCTTCCAGCAGGCTGGAAAGTGCCGGATGCGGAGCATGGCGTTGTACACCATAGTTATGTAGTCTATGGTGGAGTCAGGCAGTGCTCTAAGGACTCTGCCGTTTATTAGATCATATCCAGGGGATTTTTTTGCCTTCACTCTTCTGATGTGTTCAAGAACCTCTTCTTTTGTACATCCAGTTATCTGGTCTTCAGCTGGGAGGGGCGAGAGAACGATGTCTTCTGTTGCTTCGATTTCTGAGGCCTCTGCGGTAATCACCGGCGTGAATTGGTCTTGAAGGTGGTTTGCAAAAGCCTCAGCTTGAGCTTCGTCACCAATGTGCCAGGAACCAGAAATGCTCCGAATGGGATGTCGACGTATTGGCTGCCGTTTGAGCTTTCTTGTAAATTTCCATAATTGAAACTCTGCGTCAGTGGGCGATTCAGCTCGTACCAGCGCATCGCTGATACACCTCTTTTGAAGCAGGGCGAGAGCAGCTTTAAGATGCCTCGTGGCTTCGTTGTACGTGGATTTGGCATCAGGCGTGCGTAATCTTAACCAGCGTCTCCTGGCCCATCTTTTGTGTATTAGTAGGTGTTGGGCCTCCAAGGTGAGGGGGATGTTGTACGGAGACTGTTGTCTTGTTTGGCAAGATGGTGGGGCGGCTTGGTGCGCAGCTTTGACTATTTCTTCCTGCAGTTTGTTTGCTGCGTAGTCCACGTCTTCAGGAGTGTTAAGTTCCATTTCTATGTGCAAAGAGTAATGGAGCTCGCGCCTAAAGACTCCTAAATCTGATCCTGCTGGCAGTAGTTGTTTCCTAATGGGCAAGGGCTGTGGCTGCGCGTGGATTGTGACTATTAGTGGCAGGTGGTCAGAGGATAGGTCCAAGGATTCTTCAATGGTCAATTGCCGGTCACAGATGCCTTTGTAGACAGCGAAGTCGATTGCCGAGGGCCTGTGTCCATTAATTGGGTAACGGGTGGGGGCTCCAGTCGCCAATATGCTGAATTGTAAGTTTTGAATCGCCTCAAATATGACTTCTCCGCGACGATTCGCACTATTGCTTCCCCAAAATGGGTGCCATCCATTCCAGTCGCCGCCGATGAGGGTCTTATTCAACCTTTGGCCTAGAACCTGTTCCATGTGATGATCACACAGACCAGTGTTTGGCGGAAGATAAATTGACGCAACTTCGATCGCTCCAATAGACGTAGGCAGGGTGATGGCTGAGACCTGCATTGTTGCGTTGCAAATTGACAGTAAAGGTGTATGCGGTATTGTTGCTCGTATGAGGATTGAGGATCCACCAAAGCAGTTTGCTCCTTCACCATGAGCCTGATAGTGTTCGTATCCGAAAATTTGTGTAGTGGGGCACTCATGAGTTTCTGTTATTAACATTATATCTATGTTTTCTTGTGAGAGAAACGCAGCCAGTTCCTGAGTCTTGTTTCTCAGGCCATTGGCGTTCCAGATACCCACACGTAAAGCCATTATTTGTAGGCAAGCTTGGTTATGATGGCCATTAAACTGTTTAGCATGGTTGCTTGTTGGGATTGTACTTCTCGCATCGCTTTGAGCTCGGCATTAATTGCGTCAAACTGACGTTGTTGTTGCTGAAGCATTTCAGTGAACAAAGTGTCACTTGTGGTATTCTTATTTGACGGTCCACCTCTAGCGGCCTGTGCGTAAGAAACACCACTAATAGGCGTTGCAAAGCTCGTGGCTTGGGTAATGCTCCGGGGCCTTGTAATTTCGGAAGCAGTACTCGGACCCGTAGACGGTGTTTGTGTGGGACTCCTTTTTTGTGCTGGGGATTGCAATTTGCGCAACCGCTTGTATACTTGGCAGCCCTTATAGTTGGCTGGGTGCTGTAACTCACAGTGCACACAAGTTGGTGCCTGGTCCTTTTCGCGGGTGCAGTCTTTGGATGCGTGTTTCCCGGCGCAACGCACACACCTGGGAGCTTTGTGGCAGTAGCGTTGTGTGTGTCCAAATTCTTGACAGCGATGGCATTGTGTCAGGTCGTTGTATCTTCTTGGCAGTTCCACTGTGCAGCGTTGCCTGCAGACAACTCGAATGTCCAAAATTTCTTTGTTGTTGGGGGCCTGAGCCACGTCAACAAAAAATATATTTAGCGGTGTTTTGTCCATACGGCTCAGTGGGTTGTGCACATTTGTAATTGTGTGGCCTTTGGTTTCCAATTCCTTTTTAATTAGTGTTGTATCAGTGCTGGAGTGAAGCCCTTTGAACACGACTCTATATGGTTTGTCCTCCTTAAGCTGGTAGCAGTGGAACTCCAATTCCAGCTTAGTAAAGTGGTCTATAACTCTGCGATAGTCCTCACTGCATTGGGTTAATACACCTATGTTATTCTTCTTTGGCTTAATTACGTATGATTTAGCATCAATTACTTTATCTATTATCTGTTGAAGTAGGGCCACAGACTTGATGTTTGGACACCATATGGGGGGCGGACGAGGTTTCGGTGTAGTTTGCTGGTCGGTCAATACTGGGGCTTCTGGAGCTACAGGTGATTCGCTGTAGTCTTCATCTTCTTCTACGAGCAGTGAAAATCGATTTTCTGATATTAATGCTGCATTGCTGGTGCTTGGTTCGTCGAAGATGAGCCTTTTCTTGATGGTTTTTGGTGAATTTGGCTGTTTACGTTTCGTGTTTTTGTTGTTAGTGATGCCTTGCACGGAGGCGATATCTATTTTTGAGTTTATTGGCATGATGGAGGCTTGCCTATTTGCCATCACAACGTTAAGCTGGGCTTGCATTTCTGCATTTACCTTTACAGCTGTAGCGCGGTCATTGACATTAGATGTCATCGCGGATTGTGCTTTTGAGTGCAGGCGCACTCGCGCCAAGCGACGAAATTTCGTAAATTACAATTAAAGCAATTGAGTTACGCGGAAGCAAGCGATAAGAAAACGCTGCGTGTGCGGTTTTTGTTGCTGTTGCGTTGAAGAATGCACCGCAAAGTTCTATTTTTAGAACTCTGCAGCAGTAGAGCTTAAGCGAAGGCTGTTCGAATTCACGTCTTTACAGGTCGAACGACTGATCGCGATGGTGTTATAAACTAATCGCAGAGCTAAGAGCTTTGCTCATTGCTATTAATATGGAATACGAAACGTTGGTAATTCATAATTTTAGCAGGCACGTAAGGCCCGTTGACAATGGCTCGAGTTGAACAACTGAAATACCTTTGTAAGCAATCAAAGTGAAATATTTTACTTATATTTTATGCCTATAAACAGTTATAGGCTCGCCGCAGTAGAATTCAAATCATGAATGAAGTCGAAGTCGAGGCATGATTAAAATTAATAATACTTTTTGTGTGGATTGTGTGGCTCAACAAATCACAGCAATATCAATTTATATAGACCATAAATCTATCTATTTAAGGGGCGTAATTCGTCTGGCATTCTCTAGGGTTAGCTTTAAGTGTTAATTAAATTAATCCAATTCATATCGTTGGTACATATCATTCGACATGCCAATACCCGCGAGACTTACCGCCATAAAATAGTCCAATTAGCAGACAAATGAGTAACGTCCATGTCGCAGCTCCTCTCATTGTTATCGCTTTTAACTTGGTTTTTTTTTTCTTTTGACTGTTTTTGGTTTGTTTTTGGCAGCTTGCGCACTATTCAAATTCTTATTTGCCTTTGAGCTTGTTGCGCTATCGGAGGTAGATTGTTAACTGCAATTAATATGTCTTGTTGGAAGTCGATTCAATTAATTTGCCACTTAATTGCTACAACAATCAATTGCCTGCCCAATTGGGCACCGTAAAGCTAACTAAATTCTTCTGTTTTCCTATGCGTATCGCGTCGTGTTCACCGGAAACGCAAAAATTGGCCAAAGCCAAAATCAAAGAAAAGCGCGCGCGATTATTGCATTCGAAATCAGGCGAAAAAAAGAAACAGAAACGAAAAAAAATACAAAAACAAAAACAAAAACCTTAACCTAAAGCCCGGAGTTACTTAAGCTGGAATTCGCAGCTGTGCGCTAGAAATCGCAGCTTCAACTGGAAGCTGATTGACAGCTAAACGGTAAACATGGCTTTTAATATTCGCCTTGGTGGTTATGCAAGCACTGCAGAGCGGCGAGAATCAGTGATATTATGATCTCAGTGCGAAAATTAGAATTCGCTTTGCTCACTAATTCGCCGCATTGCCTGCCAGCCTCTGTCGCCTCTCTCTCTCTCTGTGTCTCTCTGTCCTGTGGCTCGTTCAATGCCAAAGTGCTGCAAAAGTGGGTCGTGTTGGGTCGATGTGGTGTTTGGGCAGGGCGTGGCAAGGGGGCGCCAGGAGAGAGGGTGTGCCAAGTTGAAAAGCATGCAAATATATATGCATGTAAATAAATTAATGTGCAAATGCGAAAACTCAAAAACGAAAAAACAAAAAGCAAAAAAACTGATTGTAAGCAGAGCGAAGCCTCGACACCCTTCTCCAACGACAAACTCATGGAAATTAATTTTTTAAAAATACAAAACTAATTGACAAATAATTGCACTGTTAGTCACAATATTTTCAACTAATCAATCTAAGCAATTGTTTAATTTCCATCATTGTAATTTTCAATGTATCTCAACTGCACTGGCAACGGCAATGGATTCGCTCAGTTAGCGTATGCTGATGCAAACATCGAAATAAACAGCTGAATATATGTATGCAGCATGTTTGCCAATGGTGTATACATGTTCTGGTATGTGAACCACTCACAAAATATATTTGCAACACTCGCAATCAGCTTTCAGTTTGTTGCAGTTAAAAGCAGCTAACGAATACCAAATATTCATTTATCTATTCACATATTTACTTTTCGCATAGGCGAACAATTGGCGGATGAGTATTATTTATCGCCCTATGACTGCTTGCTTCAGTTTTTTTTCAGTTATATTTCGTTAAGACTCTAGAAGTATCTTAAACGATTTTTTTAACCTTATCGCAACTAAGTTGAATCACAAAACTTGTTGTTTTCAGTAAACAAAATCAGTATCCAGATACAAATTAAAATGAATAGGAAATGCTATTTGCAAACTCCGTTTGAAACTAGCTTTTGATGGTTTATTTCTGATATGGATAATTGGATTGAGGAACTTGGAATTAATTCGAATTACTTACTATTTATTTTTAAATGCTTACAACTCTGTTTATTAAATCATGTGATAGAGTCTAAAGTAAGTTAGTTATCAAGAACGATTCTTTTTATTTTTATCAATGGTGAACGTGCAACGGTACTAAAGTCTTTGGACTTTTGATACGAGGGTCAATTAATGTATATAGCAAAATTGAAAAACTAAACTAAAAAGAATATTCTTAAAAGCTATTATGAAATTTCACCAGTCCTTTTTTAGTATGAGAACAATTTTCTATTTTACATTTAGTTTCAAAGCAAATTACAAGCGTTGCACTTGCTTTATTCAGAGCTAAAATCTTGCTTAAGAAAATAAACTTGAATTAAATGTATTTTTGAAGCTTTGACAATCAGAATTTCTAACTAAAGTACTCGCCGAGCAGCTCTCGCTTACTCAATCACTCATTCACTCACTCTCTCTATCTTTCTCTCTCTCGCTCACTCCTATGTCAGTGTCTTGAGGCGAGGTCTTAACAGTCTTTGCTTGCTTGTCTTGACGTCGTCTTGTTTTTGGTCTTTTTGGCGTTTGTTTATTTACATTGCGCTCCAAGTTTACACACACAAACACACAGAAGCAGAGATGCACTTGTATGCGTGCGTGCGTGTGTGTCCGTATGTGAAGCAGCTGCAGCTGTGCTCCGTTTGCTATTACAACGATTTTTTGGAATGGGAATCAAAACTGAAAACTGAAAACTGAAAACTGAAAACTAAAATGCGCGCCTTGCAAATGGAATTGAAAACTTTTTGTACTGTAAATAAAAGCAATCGATGTTTTCTGTCCACTTTTTGTACTCCTTCTCTGTGTCTCTCATTCTCTCATCTGTGGCAGCTGCTCCTGCTGCCCTACAGCAGCCGCCATTCTCCATTTCCCGTTCCCAGTTCCCCTTTCCATTCGCCCATATTCCAATTTCCATTTCCTTTCTCGGCCAACTTTCGGTGCCTTCATTTCGCTTTCGTTTGCCTCTCGACAGTCGACTGGGCTTGCCGGCAAACAGCGGCGACAGACGACATCGACTGCATCGAGTATTTTACATTTTTCACATATTTATAGAATGCGCGGCCAATGCATTTGCATTTGTATTTGCATATTGCACAAGCTCTACGTGCTGATGATGATGTTGTTGTTGTTGTATTTGTTGTTATTGTTGTGTTTCTAATTGCGAGTGCGGCGAGTGCCAAAATGCATTTGGGGCCACAATTCGAATGCGCTTGGGCAATGCCACATTTGCTTTCAGGCTTGTGGCAACATTTCTTGTGATTATGAATCACAGAGTTATAGAGTAACTCTTTGACTTTGGGGCAGCTGCAGCCGCCGCCGCCGCCACCGCCGCCACCGCCGCTGTCGCCAGTGCCAGGTAAAGAATGGATAAAGTGAAGCGCCTGTGCCTGTGCCATTTACACGGAGCAGCTATGGAAACAGGTTTTGCGTTCGCCTGCGACTGGTCGTTGAGATGCGAACAACGCGAGCAGTGCACGATGAGAGAGAGAGAATTGGAGAGATGAAGAAGGCGCAACACAAACTACAACAACAGCAACAACAAATATTCGGCTAAAGCGTTACAAAAGGCAACCAACTGGCAGCGACGACATATTGCACGAGCAATTTTGATTTACGACCAGGTAACCGTGCCCAGATGCTCTTTAAGTTTGTAACACTTGCACTTGCAACGCTTTCGCTCAACGTCGTGACGAACTTGTGCCCCTTTTTTTAAACTCATTTGATTCAGATGCCGTACAAAGCTTTGGCCCGCCCCACGTTAGATACAACTATTCTTTTAGACACACATACACACACATGCATATGTGTTTGTATGCTTGTATATGTGTTCGCGCACAAAACAAATTGAAGTTTTCAAGTACTTAATGGTAGTATTGATAGGAGTAAATATTTTTTAGCTGTGCGCTACACGGCCTTTCGTACCCGTCGCGACGCTTTCTGAGAGAGAACTGAAATCATTTACTCTTCAGCGCGTGCTTGATGCCAGTTGGGAGCCACAAGCCAACTGAAACCAACGGAATGAAACAGAGAGATTGGGGCAGTTTGCTTCTGCTGCCGCAGGTAAACAAAATCTTCCGCGTTGCTCTTATGGCGCCAAATATATCTGAGCGAGAGAGATAAACAGACAGTGCGTGTGTGGGTCCAGAGAAGATGTTCGCAATGTCATTGTCAACTGTTGTTGGCTTTGCACTGATTGGAAGCCCTATACTGAACAAATACCCTCTATATGAACACTGGGGTATACTCGCTGATGGTCACATTTTTGGAGCTCATGGCGTATACTTTATTTATAAATATTATATATTTTTGTTGTTATCATTCGGAAGATTAGAATATTTTTAATTTTAGCATCATACATGTTATCAATATTAAGTGAAGTCATGTGTTATTATTTATTTTTATTCTTAAAAAACCCAATTGACTTCATTTATAAATTTGCTGATAAAAATAAATACAAATACAAGCACTTAGTCATACAATTTTTAAATACAAAAGGTGAAGTAAGAAAATATACTACTATTTATAGATACTATTTAATATTTATTTTATTTAATATTAGGTTTTATTTAATATTAAATGTATATTTTGTTTATAATTTTTATTAAAAACCTTTAATTGCAAAACAAGGTTTTTTGAAAGCCGTTATTGACCATATTTAATACGATATTTTTTCTGCTCATTGCTGTCATCGAAATATCGATATATTGATAAGTGACATACATTTGCAACACTGATAATTTGTAGCAGTGCGAAAAATACTGCGCGAATATTTGTTTACAACTTGAATCATGGATGTGCCTTTAAGTGAGTTCAGTTCACAGGATTTGGAACGTGAATTGTACGCGCGAGCACAAAATACGGATGGCTCAAAGCAGGAGCGCTTTGGGCGCCTGATGGCTGCCCGGCAGCAGGAGCCCCAGGTGCCAAATCGGCCAAGAAGAGGCTCCATTGCAAAATTTGGAGCTCGTGTGCAAATGGAGGACTTTGCCGAAGTAAAAATGTTCAGTCAGACAGAGTTTGGGCTGTTGTCCAATAAAGTTCGATGGCGACTCGAGCGTGTTAGAAGAACAGAAGATGGCGAAGGATTGGAATACTTTCATCCAGATGTACTCAGTCGCATCGATCGGAGCAAGACGTACATGCTCAATATGGATGAATTCTTGGTGCGACAAGAGCCATACATTCATAAGGTCAGCTCACAGAGATTATGTTGCTACAACACACATAAAAGAGTCTTTTTTTTTGCAGATTTTTGTAATTTTCGTATCTCGGACTTGTGGCCAAGAGCATAAGCTATGCTATGCAAGAAGCTTGGCCAAATTGCGCAGCTGGGATGAACAGATAGAGGAGTTTGAGTGGCCCGTGAGTAGCTTAAGATATATTTATTCACTCAAACAGTACTTAAAAATACAGTAATATTTAGCTCATCACGACAGAGAATATAACCAGCTTGAATGTGGATAATGCTGAGCTGCAGACCACAGTAAGTTAGTTGTTGCATAGCAACTTTGCTTAACATCAGCATATTCGTCTCTAGCTCATTACACCGGAGAACATTGCGAAGGCGCTGAGTTACGTATTGGGAACTATTAAGGATAATAAGCTTGAAAACATTGTGGCCATTGCTTGCGACACGAATCGGCTCGGTCTGCCAGCTGTAGCATTGCTAGTGGATGCTAGTGGCCTTGCGATGCCACCTACGCTCTATGACATTTATGATTTGCGGAGCACCTTGCAGAATATGTTCTGCTCAGCCTGTGTGCGGATCTTGATGCGTGTGGAACACGAGATATATACGAAGAGCACGTACGGGGATCAGCTGTGCAGTCTATGCTCTGGTAATAGAACAAAGAATATGAATGCCGTTTTGCTGCTGATGGAGTATGTAAATAAATTGCCTCAGATCTTGAATACAATGTGGAACTTCGAGGAGCATCTGGACAAACCAATTTCCTTGGTTGGCCTCAACAACAAATTGCTAAAGATATACGGCGCGCACATCAAAAGGGAGCTACCACCCATAACATTCGAGGACTGTGCCGCGGGCTCAGGGCTTTTGCAATTGATCGTCTTTGACGCCTTGTGGTGTATCTCAACGGAAAGTGAACCAGAAGAGTTAAATCTGCAAACCATTGCGTATCAAGCAGCCAGCGAAGCATGAGTTGCTTGATAAGAAGCCAATTTGCTGTATTTATTATTTATTTTATTGGAACATGGAATTCAGTACAATTATATTTGTATATACTTATGTTATGTATAGCGCATAGCAAGACAAATGTTTATAAATATCGTTAGATATGCCAGCTCGCTGTAGCCGCAACGTGTGGCAGCATTATGTATCATGCTGGCTGTGAAGACTTGTGATCTCTGCGTAATCTCGTTGTCAAAACTCTCCTCGGTTGCGTCATATTGCAGCTCAGATTCCGTCGAATAGTTGGGCAGCTCGACTTTAAATTAGAATAAGAAAATTGTTAAAAAATAAAAATAAATAAACACGATAAGAGTCTTACCTTCACCGCCAGTTGCAAATCGCACGGTCTTACTATTATCGCTCCAGCCGAAGCTGTTCCTCGCCAGAACTGAGACCTCAAATAGACTCGCTGGCTGCAGTCCGTGCAGTGTGTAAGACGTTATGTAAATAGGACCTATATTTTGATAATGCAAGTAAAATAAGATAACGTTACCAGAATCATGTCTCTGATAGAACCCAGTTCTTTGCTGTTAAGCCTTACCAATAGTCACTTGAGCAGGAATTGTCAGCTCGGTCCAGTTTGTTCGAATTGGCCTTGATATATTTGCTGCGGAAGAAGCGGAAGTTGTAAGTATACTGAAAAAAGTTAAGAGAAATAGGCTTACCTGATGGGATCTGTCGGAATTTGAGCTTGAATTCCATGATGGGCAGCATGCTCTCAGTCTGCCAGACCAGCACATGGGACGTGGAGCTTTGCGTGCCGGGATTGATCTTGAAGATGCAGGGCATGGGTCGTCCAGTCAGCTCAACGGTGGTGCTCTTGAAGCCAATCGAGTTGGTTGCTCGGCACTCGTACTGACCCATGTCGGCATCGCGCACCTTCTTAAGGATCAGCACGTGCTTGACCCGACTCACGTAGCTATCCAGGGAGTGACTGCTGGCACCCAGCTCCGTCTCATGGCTGCTGATGTGGGCGCCGTTTTGAATGGGCACACCGTAATGGAACCATTGCAACGTCGCCATTGGCGCTGCCTCCACAATACACTCCAGCTGTGCCCGATCTCCAACCTTGGTATAAACCACAGTCTGTGGCAGCGTCAACTCTGGAGCAACTAGAAGTGGATCGATGAGACTTACTAATCTCTGATTACGTTACTCTGCAAACCTACACAAAACACGCAGCTGTACGCCCGCCACCGCTGGCTGACCCACTCCGTTGGCGGCGAGGCACTCGATCAGACCCGACATAGTCCTCGACTTGATCTCAAAGATGTGACTCTGTCGATTGCCTGTACTGCTGTAATCGGGCAGGATGTTGCCATTCAGTCGCCAGTTAATCGCCGGCTGTGGAACACCATGGGCCAAGCACACGACCTCAAACGTGGAGCCAATAGACAGCTCCAGCACTCCGCTTGGCTCGATGGCGATGCTGGGCTCAGACTGCACCTCGATCGCATGCACCTGGACGGCATGATTGCTGTTCGACATGATCTCACAGTAGTAGTCGCCAGTGTCTTCCGACTTCAGATTTGACACCTGCAAGCTGCCATTGGACCAGAGCACGATGCGTTCCGGCGGCGGAATCTCCGGATGTCGCGAGTCTACCAACGGTACATCGTCCCTGTGCCAGCGCACATAGTGAAACGGAGCTGCAGATAGGCGAGTTGCTTCATGTTATTATATATATATATATATATATATTTTAGTTACAAATTGGATTCAACAAACCAATTAACGAATTCTTCTATTAAAAAAGGGAAAAGCTAAGCCCTTTTTTTACTTGATATAAAAATATATTTAATATTTTAAAATTTAATACAGTATATTATTATTAAAATAATTCATAAAATTTAAAAAATCTTATTTATATTTTTATTATATATATATATATTATATAGCTAAATAATATTAATTTAGTTTTTTAAAATTATATTAAAGATATATATATATATATTTATAAATACTTTCAGATAGTTTTCAATTGGATACAATTTGAAACATTATTATATATACAGTATTTACACATATATTTAAAAAATAATAATAAATGACATTTTCCTGTCTCCGATTTTATTTCTTTATATTTCATATAAATAAAATATTGAATTTTTTCAAGTCAGCAAAATGAACTCTAGACTAGATTCTGCAAACGAGCTAAAGCTGACTAGCTCCAGCAGACAATATCAATGTGGGAAATAAAATTTTTTAAGGCCTTTCGAAAGGCTTTGGCAGGGGCAATTATCAGTTGAAATTTACTTAATAAATACAAAATTCTGTTTGTTGTTAAAGAAACTCGTATATTTGTAACCTGACCTGGGCAATTCGAGCTTTGCGACTCGAACTCATTGCGTCAAAAACGCTTGAAAAACGAGTAAAGTATATAAAATTCTGTTGCTCTTAGTTATCTTCATAGACAACATATCTTAAAACTCATAGGCTGCATATTATAAAAATAAATGCATTTTTCTTCTACCACTGCGCCTTGGTTCCACTGAAAATATGGCTATTTCTGCCTGTTTTCATATGTCAAAGGAGCGCTAAATTTAATTTTAATCAAAAGTTGTAATTTACGAAATATAAATGAATATTAAATAATTTAAAGAAATGCTCTTAAGATGGTTCTACATATTCTGAAGGCAATTAGTCTTCATGAAAACCAATTTCACCAGGCTTCAGGCTGCTTAACTTGCCAAATATTTGAGTGCTGTAAATTTAAGGAATTTTTATATATTTTTAAAAATTGCTTTTAAATATATAAATAGCTATAATTTAGATTTTGTAGATGCAATTTACAGAAGAATCTGTAGCCTCTTCTGCTTTTACTTCAGAGACATATCTAGTAGAAATGAAATTAATCAAATCCAGTTTTATGTGTCTATTATAGATAAAGAGAAGCAGAAAATCCATTGTGATGAACGAACTTCCTTTGCTGTCTTTTGTGCATTCATTCGAAATGCTTAAGAAACTCAATTTAGATTGACAAATTAAATGTTATTGTTGCCTCCAATTGGCCATACAAAGGCGCACTTTCAAGGCCTATTATATTGGCTAACTAATACGGTCAGTTAATAATGTTTACGTAGAGCTATAAATATATGGATATATTTATAATTGATCTCGCTTACTGTCCAGATAGCAGGGCAATAGCACAGTTTCGTTCTCGTAGCTTTTGATGGTAGTGGGAACACTTTTAAATTTCTGATTATTCTCAAGATCATTGTTAAAGTTGAGCTCGCACTGGCTGAGGGGCAGCAGTAGAGCGAGTAGCGCTGCCAATAGAGCACACATGTTGCACACACTGAGATTTGTAATTGAATTAGAGGCACCGACTTCAAATGTTTCAACGGCTAATCGAAGCGAATTGCACTTGGGCGCGTGTCACTAACTGTTCAGTTGGGTCCACTGTTCCGGCGCGCTTGAAATCCCGAGCTCAACTGAACGCTTGAGCAGCCGATGGGAGTCTGACGAACACTTGCGCCTGGCTTTGGCAGACTGAGACGGCGACGGCGACGGCGACGGCGATGGCGACGGCGACAGTGGCAGCAACAGCGGCAGCGCAGCGGCAGTGACAGTGACAGGGGCGACGATGAAGACAGCTCAAAAAGTCACTTGCTCTTTCTTTTTGGGATGCCGGTTGATTAGATGTCTTCCGATGTTCAGCAAGGCGTTGTGTGCCAGTTTGGAACACATTTAACTGTACATACGTATATATATATAGAGTAGAGTACATAGCATATAGGCATCGTATCTATAGAATGCAACGGAGCGTTCTGCACGCCCTCGCCAAAGCATGTCCATTTGCATGTGCCATGCATCGCTAGTTCGTTCAGCATTCTGAATCGGATTTTGATTCAGTTTCAGATGCTGCTGCTGCCGCTGCTGCTGCTGATCTATTACGTTTGCCGCTTGAAAGAACGTGCTCCTGTTGCATATCATGAGATAAAATGTCATTGTGCCGCAATATACATATGTATGTATGCATGCTATATAGCCGCCGGCCACAGCATTGTCATCGGATCAGACACACATTCACACTCCCAGTCGTTCACTTAAGCCCCCTCTAGAGGCTCCCCTTGTGTATCATTAGAATTGTGAACCAAATGCAAAGATTTCAATTATAATAACAAACTTTTACCGGAAGTGCAGCCATGAAAATAAATTCATTTACGAACGTATCCATAGAACAGTTGCATAATAGTAAATAAATCTCTTATACATGTGCTCCCCTTGGGCTCTACGAAAGTGTGTCTTTAATTTAAGTTAGACTGCACTTTCATTATATATAGATCTTTAATTTAAGAATTTATCTGTGTTTATACATTTAAAAGAAAGTGAGACTATTAGCTATATCGTATTTAATTTCGATCCAGGCATCTGCTTTCCAGGAACTTCATTGTCCTGAAATAAAAATTAGATAATAATATTTTTAGCTATAGACATTATATATATTACATTAAAACTTATGAAATTATTTTATGAAATTATAAGCTTATGAAATTTACGATCAAGAAGAATCTAGTCTTCAAATTTGTAGACTAGCTAAGGCCATAAGTTCCCGAGTTCCATGAGCTTAAACTGAAGATGTCCAGCTATGCTCGTTAAATAATACCTATTCTATATATAATTCACAGAAGTTTTCCAAGTTGCCCAACCTAAGCAACATGCCTTGGGTATAACAAGATAAGACTTGGCCAAATTTCAATTATGGTTTATGTGTGTTGGCATAAATAAACAAATTTGTAAATTATTTTGGAGCTATTGCTGCTGATTGTTAAGTAAATATTTTTATAACGATTCCGCACTCTGTATCAGCCAAGAGTCCATTGAGGCCACATATATATACGTGATGATGATTCTCGACTTGAATCGAGCGTGACCTTTAACAACTTGATGTAGCTCATTCGAACTCCCGCAAAGATGTGAAATGCGATCGCGTTCAATTAAAAGACAATTTGATCGAATTAATTAAATTAGATGTGGACATGCTGGGGCTCCGACAGCTGCGCAAACAAACTGCAAACCAATTAAAAAGAGGCGTCCGCAAGACTTAACCCGCTTCGCAGTGATCCACTTACTGAGCAGTCCAGTCACAATGGTAGAGTTGGGCAGTTCCAGTTTTATTTTGGATACATCGATGATATGGATAGAGGCTTGTTGTTTGAGTATGGTAGGTATTTTATTCGTCAACTCGACTACAATAACTGATTTCAATTAAAATAAGTACAGTGCTAAGTGCTTACAACCGACGCATTAGCAGGGTGCGGAGTTTGGTCGAACTTTAATCGGAATCAGGCCAAAATAAAAATAGCTCTTAACGTACTAAAAGTATAGGATTTATGGGGCCATAAATACAATTTAGAACTTATAAAATACAAACGGGATACAAGACCCTATGACTAAATCGTAATCGTATAATAAATAGCTGTTAAATGAGTTTCGTTTACGTTTTACTTTAGCTAATTGTTGTTCACAAACTATATTTATTCACACAGACAAACAACCAGTGGCAACCGTACCGTTATCGTTAATAATAAATAAACAAATGTCGTTACACAGATCCGACACAGAACTCTCGCGATCTATCTATCGCTGGGGACGGGTAGCTTCACTTTGACTTTGGAATGCAAACGCATTTGAATTCTGTATGCTTCGTGTAATTTCGTCCTACATATACATAATACGTATTACTTAAACAGCCCTGAATGAAAAGTAATGAATGATGGATGGTCTCTATATATCAGTACATAGCGATATATATATATTCGTAAATATACAATACAATTTGTAAACTATGCCTATAGGTTATTCAGTTGCGCACTGTCAGGATAGAGCGTTAACAGAACGTTCCTTTCCTCTCCTCAATCAATCGTCACAATAATCGATTACGTTAATTAGTCGTAACAGCACTAACCTAAGTAAAGAACGTCATTAATTGAACGAACGGTGCAGCTAGATGAGGCCGCGCTTCTTTTTGTAATCTTCCAGGTTCAGTGAACGCTTGGACACCGTCTCGGTTGGCTTGTTCGCCGGTTTGGGCAGAGAATTCGTGCTGTTCACTGAAACGAAAGGCATATTAGTGAGGTGTATTTCGAGTGGATAAGTGTTGTCAGCTTACCTGGCAGCGGTACATCTAGGTCTATGTCGAAGTCGTGCAACGAATACAAGCTGTAGTCTTTGCCATCGCCTGTCTTGGAATTGGATGTGCATGTTTCATTGGGTTTCTTTTGCCTGGCGGCGGCGGAGGTAACGGAGCTGCCAGCACCTCGTCGTCGTCCTTTTTGGCACCCTTGAAGCCCATGCGCGGCTGAGTAATGCGCCGCGTAAATGGATCTGATATCTTCATGCCTTTGTTGGCACGCGCCTCCTCCATTATGGCCTTCTCTGCGTCCTGCACATTCCGCTTACGATTGCGATCGTTTATGTAGGAAATCAAATTAAGACTATGTGAGCGACGTTTGTCCAGCTCGGAGGCGCGACTCTCTAGCTGATCGATCTGCTGGCCCAGGTCGTTGGCAATGTCATAGTCACCGCGCAACATGGCCGCATCGCGCTCTTTCATGAGGCAGGTTTTCTTCATAGCATAGTTGGTGGGTCGATTCCGGAAGCGATTCTTCTCCTCAACGATCTTATCCACATCCTCGTCCTTGAACTCGTAGTTCAGCGCCTTTTTAATATCGTTTTGCTTGATCTCGATTAAATCAATTGTCGGCATGGGCACATGCTGCTGCTTGCAGACCTCATACCATTTGTTAAACTCGGTTTCAGTGAACTCCTGATTTGATATAAACTCTAAGCGGAAAACGCGCTCCTGAGTGCCGTGCTTGAGACGCAAGCCTCGATTGGTACGCGTCGTACCAAGTGTGTATATTTTTGCCAGTCTCCACGACGCCAACAATCTCAGCCACTCGATACACGGGCTTCTGGCCGTTGTTGCCTATGCTGATGCGCACAAAGCAGTTGACCACAGTGCCCTCGAATATGGGTAAATTGACGAAACGCTCCATTTTTAAAGCGAGACAATCGCAGTTTGTTTAAATCCTCTCGGGTGGTTATGAATACGGGACTCTTTGTGGTCTTTTCGTCGTCCTCAGAGTCGCTCGACGCTTTGCTGCTGTTTGAACGAGAACGCTTGCCCGCCGGCTTCTCTTCGTCGTCCCAGTCACTGCTGCCCGAATCATCAGAGTAGATCTCAGATGCTTTCAGTTTGACTGCCGACTTGCAGCCAGACACGCTTTCCAGTTCCTCCTTATCATCATCTCTGTCGCGTTCAGCTTGTCGCTTGGCTTCCTCCTCCTCTGCAATTTCAGACGAATTCGCTTTATTAGAATACCCATTTGTTATGTGATTTGGTACTTACCTCTCTTAGCTTTTCCTTCTCGCTTGGCTTTGAGCATGGCCATGGCGTTGCTTCGCTTGTCGTCAGTTTTGTTTGCCTCCACGTTCTTCTTGCGCTCCTTGGACCGCTCTTTGTGATCAAATAGTCAGCCACATTGTTGGCATTTTGCTCATCAGCGCTTTTCTCAGCGCTACTACTGGTTGCTCCCGACGTAGAGCCGGAAGTTGATGGACCCTCGCGAATCGATGGCATGGGTGAGGGACTTTTGGCCGAAGCACGCGCCTCTATCGCACTACTCTTGATGGCATCCAGGTCGGCTGTGGTTGATGCAGGCACGGGTGGTGCCAAGTCCTTTGCCTTTTTGTTGCGCTTGTCCTTCTTCGACTTCTTTTTTGGCACGGTCCCCTTTTGATTTTGATTTCTCATTCTTTTCGCCACGACGGGCGAGCTTCAGCTTCCTCTCGATCTCCCATCTGGTGCGCATAAGGTCACGCTGCTCGATGCGCTTGAAAATCTCTGTTTCGCGCTCCTTTTCGGATAGCCCATTGAGACGCTTGCGGTCCTCCTCATCGCCCATCAAGTCGTCATCGTAGCCATCATCAAACTCAGAATCGGAACTTGACGATGATGAGCTAGATGAATCGGAGCCACTGGCAGAGCCTGAGGATGACGTTGATTTGGACTTGGATTTGTCATTTTCCGAGTCACTGTCAGACACCTCCCCCTCTTCCTGCTCGCTGTGAACGTCTGTTTTTTTTGTTTCGGGCTCAGCACGTTTCTCTGCAGGTGCTGTTGCCTCATCCTGGCTGTCATCGTCCCAATTCTCCTCGGAAGAGCTCGAGTCTCTGCTAGTCTTCTTCGAGCGCTTCTTTTTCGAGGCTGGGGCGCTCGATTTATTGTTTGCCCAGTCCGAATCTGAATCAGATTTGGAGTTTGAGGTTTTTTGTGGCATTGCTTGGCTTCTTTCTCTTTCTAGCTAGTGACAACAAGTCCTACGCGTAAAATAAATATAGATTTTTACAATATGATCTGCGCATTGATTTGTTACATGGCGAACGTTTGGGCAAGGCGTCTTTTGCCATTTCATGCGCTTTACTTACCGATTCTAAG